TACCAGCCCACCCTGCAGGGACCTGTTTAATGCGGGCATGAATCCTTGTAAAAAGGTTTCAGTTTTGTTGCCAGAAAAAAGGGGAAAAACCCTATTATCACATTTTGGTACTGGCAAAGGAGGTCTAATGATGACTGCATTGGTTTTCAAGTTATTTTTTTTTAGCCAGGTGAGAACTCAAGAGACCAGGAAAATCTCATGTGCAAGAGTGACCTGGGGCATTAGGCTGCCAGACAGGGGAAAAGTTTGCAATGTATAGGCTGAAATAAGTAATTTGCTGGTTATTTTTACATTTTGCAAATTTATATCATGACTAGCACACAGTTTCCCACTCTTGCTCATGAAATCAGTGAATCTTTAACATCCATTGTAAAGCAAGACAGGCTTGTATTGTAAACGGTTATTACTCTTGCAGCAGAAAACAGTGGTCACTGGAGCCTAACTGTGAATCTGCAATTAGCGGCGAATGCACTCACTCGGCCATGTCACCGTCTTTCAGATTTTAGATTTGTTTTTGGATTATATGGCGTGTTGTTTGGATGTCATGCGGAAAAACATGCATTACAGCCCAAAGACACAAGGGAGGTTAATATTTGACGAATTAATGGAAAAAGTAAATTTGGTTTACATCACACAATGCCAGAGATTGAATTGATTTAAAAACTGCTGGGAATTATTTCCAAATTGTGATAGTTGGTCTTCAGATACGGTATGCAATTTATATGTTTCTAACCTTACATTTGAAAAATTATTGTCTAGGTGTAAAGAGGAAACGCTCCCAAGATTTTCAAGCCGTAAGTCCATGAAACACACCCACTGCATAATCATTTAAAATCAAAACCCGTAATGTTTACTGGTTAATTCAACATATATGTTTTAATAACGCCCCTATTAAAGTTTAGTTTAGTTCTTAAAAAATGTGTTTGTTCGTGGTTTTCATGAGTGCTCAATACACGTGAGTAGAAACGTCTGATATTGTTTATTATTTTGTCAAAGCCATTGCAGACTTGTGTACAATTATCTCTTGTTTTGATAAAACATTTGCAAAAATGCCTCCTCCCTCATACCCACACTCCATGCTGCTCATGTTTTCTCTGTTTTGAGTCTCTATTCCAGAGGTCACCGGTTCCATCTTCTAGCGCAGCGGTTGAAACAATGGACATGTTTCTTAAATCCCCCTGATTCTGTCCACCTAGTATTATAAGATGTTAGTTGATTGTTAGTGAGCCTGTGGTGGAATGAAGTGTGGTATACTCCCAAGTCGAAGAGCATGCCAAAAGAGATGTATGTTAAACTTCTTTTGCACTGTATGTAGCCAACCGTGCTAATCGGAGGTGTGGGGGAAGGAAAACAAACTAAACACAAAAAAGCAAAATACCCTGTAGTAGGGCTCTATTGAGCTTCCTCGAGTGGATGCCCTTCCACAAGCAGTGGCATGAACAAGCAGTTGCAGGGCTGCACCTTGACCTTTTGCCATTGTGTCTGCACCGTCGATGATGATTCATAGCCAACTACAGCAGCGCTGATGTGGGAGCACCCATCCTGGACGTGGTGCTGGAGGCAGGCGACGTGATCTACTTTCCGCGTGGGTTTGTGCATCAGGCCGCCTGCCTGCCCGATGTGCACTCCCTGCACCTCACTCTCTCTACCTTCCAGAGAAACTGCTTCGGTGACCTGCTCGAGAAGGTGCAATCACGCACGCACGCTCGCTCTATTCTTCCGGCTTGCAACCGACTCCTGCTGATGTTTTTTTAAAAGTAATTTCTGGAGGGGATTTGGCACGTGTTGTGTCGTGGAGACGGTAAGAGGAATACATGGATCCGAGAAAAACAATGGAAATTGGAGACATTGACTGTTAATAAAAAAATAAGTGGGTTTAATCAGTGCAAATTGCTAGAAGGGACGATGGCCAGTGGGTGAGGTTTGTGATGGAATGGCCATGAAGAGAGGGGAACATGCCTGAGAGAACAAAAGCGCAAGGTTAGAGCGATGAGTTCAGCTCATATCCAGGACCGATATGGATTATGGCAGCACAGAACTACGCGGATTCGTGATGACACTGGAAGCCCTTCATCGAGGAGTGGATAAACCATGGGCTTTGATAATAATAATATAGATGTGAATTTTACTTCAGAATGGAATCTTTTCAGAGTAGGCTACTGTGTGTAGTAGTCTTTGTAGCTCTATCTCAATTTCAGACAATTACCTGGAACTTAATCATATAGAGTCCTTTGTTTACAAGGTAGACAGATCTTAATCACAATAACTTGATTGCATAGTTTCTTCAGTTTTAGTTTTTTTTATGGAATTGATCAGAAGCAGAGCGAATATTGGACAATTGTATTACATACATGGTCATTAGTTGAAGACTTGCAACAAATAAAATGCATTAATACACACTTTTGTATGCAAGAGTGTTTGCAGTGTCTTTGTTCCGTATAAATGAGAAAGAACCTGCTAATGTTTTCAACTCTTGCACACAGATAATGCCGGCTGCTCTTCAGACAGCTATTGAGGAGGATGTCGCATTCCGGGAGGGACTACCTCTTGACTATCTGGATTATATGGGCGTGCAGAATTCCGAGACGGTACGGCAATAGCACGTGGATATTTGACATTGCATCACACACACACACAATGTTATAGCTCTACGTGATTGCCATGTCTTTGGTGGAATGACACTTGTATTTGTCACTGTCGTTTTGCTGTGCACCTTCCTGTAGGAGGACCCACGAAGAGCTTCCTTCCTCCAGAAGGTGGACAAGCTGATCCGCAAAGTGGCGGACTATGCCCCAGTGGATGCCGCTGTTGACCAGAAGGCCAAAGATTTAATTCACGACTGTCTGCCGCCAGTGTACACAGCAGGTGCGAATAAAGCATTTCCACTGGCAAATCCACGACCAAAGCACGGGTTGCATCATAATATCTTAACATTTTGTGGTGAGGATCGAAAAATGGCATCGACGCTGGTACAAATGCAAGTGATTTAGAAGTTAGGTGGCTGGGTAACTCAAAGGTCAGAGCAGTGAGCTGGAATTCCTGAGATCTTGGCAGCTGCCTGTGATATTGTCTCAGCCGGGTCACCAGTGGTTGCACGAAAAAGCCATCCTATTACATTTAGCTGCGCACTTGATGTGGAATTGCAGCTCAAAGAATATTGGTTTTACTGCCGTGCGATGAACATTCCGCTTATAGGGCAGAGTAGGTAGTAAAACGTGCTGCCCCCTACTGCGTTTACCAGACGGTATGTTATATTCCTTTCCATGAGTCGTTCTAGCACACAAAGGTGCACTGGTCTGAGAGTTTCAAATTTATTATTTATCTCATCACGTGATGCTGATAGTATAATCGGGAAAACATTTGGGGAAAGATTTAAAAAAAACGTCAGTCAGCGGATAATATTCCCACCTTGTGCTTACATGCGCAGTCTCGCCTGGTTTCCTTACAGAGGAGAAGGCATGCAGTGTGCACGGCGCACCTGTGAGGTGTGTCAATGGCAAGATTCACGACCTACTCATCAACGTTGACGGAAACACACAGATAAGGCTGCTCCGCGCCGGGGTCTGCAGGTCTCTTCTTTTTTTTTACAATTGATCAGTCTCATTGTGTTCACTCGATTTACTACTGCAGTTTTTATATGTTACGAATGTTCCCGTGAGGCCATTATAGTTCTACATAATCTGCACGTGATTAAGGATGTTTTGTGTGCCGGTCCCAGGCTGTGCAGCGAAGAAGGGAAAGTCAATCTGTATTACACCGTGGAGAACTCTCGCACGTACCACAAGGAGGAGCCCAAGTGCATTGAAATTGACGATTATGTAAGTATGTTGAAAAGTGGTATTCCTGGCCAGCACAGTTGTAGTCATTGTGGTGAAGCCGTGCATCGCCTTGTAGTTCAGCACTATCCAACTGTATGCGTACATCTTTTTTTTTAAATGCCAATTGTACGTGATATTCTGTGCATCTGTCACTTGTGAATGTGCATAGAATGTGGAGGCCGTGGAACACCTGATTCATAGCTACCCAAAGTTTGTGACTGTGGATAGCCTGCCCTGTCCTGCCATCGAAGAAAAGGTAGGCGCTCTCTCATTAGCCCTGCCTCAATATCGTTTCAGTGAATTTTTTTTATAATTCGATAGAATTTTTGCAAACTTGTTTCATGGCTTTAGATTTTGGTGGATGACAACAGTGGTATAAGGCTTTGACCAGCGTGAAGATGAATATTTTATGACAGTGGAACATGTGCATAGCTATTATAATGCTGTCAGAAATTTGTGCCTAGAGAAATGTTACTGAAAGTATGTATGTGCATATTCTTGGGTCTTCCGGTGACGCCGCGTAGATTAATTAGGTGACTTTACCGAAAGACCCAAGAATAGATTTGAAGTTTTCGTGACTGCAGGGATCCATACTCTTTGGTTCTTTCGGTAAAGTCACGTGTCACATGTGGTTGTCACACCTGATGACGGACGCTTGTGTTGCGCCCGAAACGTCGTGATTTAATTGATTTAATCTTATACCTACGTGACTTTACCGAAAGAACCGGAGAGTATAGACCCAAGAATATGAATTCCTGCAATCACGAAAGCTTTAAGTCAAAATGTATGTATGTGCATGCTTGTGGACTATTGGTATCGTTATTTGTTCAATGAAAAATGATTTCCTGTTTATTTGCAGTGCAATCTGACCGTGGACCTATTTGAAAAGGGACTCTTAACCTTCAAGGAGCCACTGAAATCAGCATAAATACAGCTTTTAAAAGACGTTCAACCCACACTCATTTGTCAAAAAAAATATCCAATCTGTTTTACTATAACAATGGATGCTTGTTTTATAAGTACAATATTCTATAAGTACAATATCATGAGTATAAACCACTGGTAATATACTGCTAATCTCAACACCTTGGATCTTGTGGTTGTGATAAACAGTGGAGAATACAAACTGGGCCCAGTGGTGTAAATAAACCATTATTTATTTCATTCAGGAATACGATTTGACCGCCAACACCTTGTGTAACATTAAACTGTTCTTTTTAATTTGTACGAATAATGAAAATCTGCATTTGTCAAATTCCACCAAAACTGAATGTGGCACACCTCACCACACATTGGAATTATACTTTTGTTTGTAGTACATTGTGAGGTAGATTTTTAAAAATGAGAGAAAATAAACTCCAGCAATACTACAACAGGGTTAATCATTATAGACCCCGCCAAGTCCGTTAAAAACCGCAAGCTTTCGACGTATGGCCGGCCCACTACATTAGCATGCTGCTCGAGCAATGAATGTGGTCACGTGCTGCTGCTGCCGCTGCATGCAGCATGGCTTGCCAGGATACTCCTCCGCTTCTTCTCATAGGAGCTGCTCGTATTCATGTAGTCTGTCCATGCGGTGGGCAGGATGCCCACCAGAAACAACATGGCCCTCTCCACGAATGAGCACACAAGGTAGCAGGCACTTGGGTCACTCGCCGTAAGCGCCTCAACGATTGCGTCGATCACCAGGCCGGTGTCTCTATTTTTGAAGGCACCCATTTCACGTGCCGCAGCCCAGTAGGTGTCGATATATTCGAGGGTGAACTGTGCCTTCTGGCACTCTGTGAGGTTGTTGTAAATGCTCTTGGAGTCCATGTTCTGCAATATCTTTGTTTGGCGAAGGAAGCTCCCAGGCTCTATAAATATCACCTGTTGATAAAAAAAAATAATGCACGTTAAACTGGCATACCAACGGAATTATTCGTTGGGGAATTTATGACCAGTGTTGTAAAGTGTAGTCGAACGTCCTTCAGTCTGCCAGTGGATTGACTGTTTATTCAAAATAAAATTTGAAAAACACTGCAGATAATTTTGTGAATAGAATATTTGCAATTACAGTAAAACCTTGGATTGCGAGTAACTTGGTCTGCGAGTATTTTACAAGACGAGCAAATTTTTTAAAGAAAAATTTATTTGATAAACGAGCGAGGTCTTGCAATACGAGTAGTGTACGTATACGCTTTGTCTACCGAGCGTCACGTGATCACAACTGATATACGAGTGCTTTGATATACGAAATTGTGGTTTTACACCTGCATGATAAAAATATGCATCATGAAATAATTGATGTATTTTCAATGTCACGTATGCTAATTTTCGTCTCGTCAGTGTCTCTCAAATCATCCGCATGTGTTGGTGAAGGAAAACTTTAAGTCTGGAACCCTTGCACGTGACTTTAATGCGCCCCAAATGTTACACTTTTTAAAAAGCGGTCTTCACCTTAACGTCCCACTTTTGCATTTCAAGTCGCAGGCAGGTTGAGAAGATCTCCACACCGCTCTTGGTGATGCAGTAGCTGCTGGTGAACGCGGAAGGAAGTCTGGCTGCGATGCTCGATATGTTTACAATTCGCCCTGCATCACGCGCGCAACGTCGGACGTGGAAATGCGAAGGAAAAATTATTGAAAGCGTTTTAATTTCTCATCCGATGCAGTGGTCCCCCGGTTGGCGATATTAATTGGTTCCACGAAAACCATCGTTAATTGAAATTATCGTTGATTGAATACAGGGAATACATGTTAAAGGATTAATTTGTTCCAAGGCGATCGGAAATTTGACATTTTTCACCCAGAAAACATAGTTTCTAATATTTAAACATGCTTATTTTAATCAACGTTATACAGACATTAAAGCATTAATATTAATAGAAACATCGATAAATAATAGAATAGAAAGGTGCATAAATATAGCATAAAATAAAAGTCTTACCATTGGCTAAATAAAGCTAGCCAGTTGCTCAAAACGCTCATAAGGGTGTTGCTGTTTGGCTGAGGTGTGCCGAATCCACATAGGCGCTCTCCGATTGGCCGAAATTGTCAGCGGTTTGCTATATTGTAAAGATATCGTTAATCGAAGATGTATCAAATCTTGACTTGAAGCTTTCGTGACTGCAGGAATTAATATTCTTTGGGTATTTCGGTAAAGTCACGTAGATAGAGTCAAAGAAAATAACTACGACGTTTCGACCGCAACACAAGCTGTCATCAGGAAAAGGGGGTTAGCCTCTAAAGGCAAACTGTTTATGAAGGTTTAGAGATGGGCGTAGCCCAAGTGTGTCGGCAGCATGGGCGGGGTGCTAATTTTAATGTACCCCGTCCATGCTGCTGACACTTGGGCTACGCCCATTTTCAACCTTTATAAACAGTTTGCCTTTAGAGGCTATAACCCCCTTTCCCTGATGACGACCGCTTGTGTTGCGATCGAAACGTAGTTCTTTTCTTTGAACCTATCTACGTGACTTTACCGAAAGACCCAAATAAAATTATAAAACATTAATTTAATGTGATGCGTGCATCAATTGCATTTCAGCTTTGTAATGAATTTAAATATTGCCTTGGCCGTGTGTTTTGGGTCATTGTCATGCTGGAATACCCATCCACGACCCATTTTCAATGCCCTGGCTGAGGGAAGGAGGTTCTCAACCAAGATTTGACGGTACATGGCACCGTCCATCGTCCCTTTGATGCAGTGAAGTTGTCCTGTCCCCTTAGCAGAAAAACACCCCCAAAGCATAATGTTTCCACCTCCATGTTTGATGGTAGGGATGGTGTTCTTGGGGTCATAGGCAGCATTCCTCCTCCAAACACGGCAAGTTGAGTTGATGCCAAAAGAGCTCCATTTTGGTCTCATCTGACCACAACACTTTCACCCAGTTGTCCTCTGAATCATTCGGATGTTCATTGGCAAACTTTAGACGGGCATGTATATGTGCTTTCTTGAGCAGGGGGACCTTGTGGGCGCTGCAGGATTTTAGTCCTTCACGGCGTAGTGTGTTACCAATTGTTTTCTTGGTGACTGGTCTTAGCTGCCTTGAGATCATTGACAAGATCCTCCTGTGTAGTTCTGGCCTGATTCCTCACCGTTCTCATGATCATTGCAACTCCACGAGGTGAGATCTTGCATGGAGCCCCAGGCCGAGGGAGATTGACAGTTCTTTTGTGTTTCTTCCATTTGCGAATAATCGCAGCAACTGTTGTCACCTTCTCACCAAGCTGCTTGGCAATGGTCTTGTAGCCCATTCCAGCCTTGTGTAGGTCTACAATCTTGTCCCTGACATCCTTGGAGAGCTCTTTGGTCTTGGCCATGGTGGAGAGTTTGGAATCTGATTGATTGCTTCTGTGGACAGGTGTCTTTCATAAAGGTTTTTGGGTTAGATCGCGTTATTTGTAAATGTGTCGTAACCCTCCACCACCCGACACAGCCAAACAGTAAAAAATGTGTCACGTTTACAAAGGACAAATAGTTCACTACTTTAGCCCACCGGTGTGTTGAATAGTGAATCAACACATCATTTAAAATTTGAGTACGACGTTTCCCTGGTAATTACATCCAGCTTCGGGCAATTTGCCAGAATGGTAAAGCCCTCACTTGCTCCCGGTCTTAAATAGAGCAGCAGGGTGACGTCATCATTTAACGTGTTCAGGTGCAGCGATTTTAGGCGGAGGGGGGGGGTATTGTAATTATATAATCGATTGGTAATCAGTCAATGGTTATGATTAGTAATGAGTTGTAGGTGTCTTTTATACAGGCAACAAGATGAGATTAAGAGCACTCCCTTTAAGAGTGCTCCTAATCTCAGCTCGTTATCTGTATAAAAGACACCTGGGAGCCAGAAACCTTTCTGATTGAGAGGGGGTCAAATGCTTATTTCCCTTATTAAAATGCAAATCAATTTATAACATTTTTGACATGCGTTTTTCTGGATTTTTTTGTTATTCTGTCTCTCACTGTTCAAATAAACCTACCATTAAAATTATAGACTGATCATTTCTTTGTCAGTGGGCAAACGTACAAAATCAGCAGGGGATCAAATACTTTTTTCCCTCACTGTACATACGGCTTGCCCATATGGGCGACGAAGATGAGCACGACATTTAACTAACCCAATCCATAAATCAAATGCTGTCCATTTGGTGTACGTCAATCATCACCAACTAATCTGAACATGCCATGTTGTCTTCTTTGGTATGGATATTTATTGAGTTGCCACAAAAGATTGATGTTTAAGATGTAAAGTGCCCCTGGTGGCTTCCAGGCGCATAAAGTGAATCCCACTCGTGCACTTGGAGAATGTTCACAGTGGATAGTTAATGATATGTTTACACTTTGAGAGTGCATTGCATTTGGCCGATTTTTTTTTTAAATGATGCAAGGTAGCCAATTATGTGGCGATGGCTCGATGGTGGGGCCTTCCATGACCTGCTTATTCAAGATGATGGCGTTCTCGCAATCTTGCTTCTACCAATCTTCGATGCTGCCTGGATGAGTCTGCCTTGTTTCAGAATGGCAGTGTGGTGCGTTCAGTGGTGAGCAGCATATGGTCCGTGGTGTCGAGGGAGTGTCATGTCACCCGTCTGTAGGAATCTGCTGGCTGCTCGGTACATAATTTGAGTACTGTATAAGTTTGATACATGCTTGCATACACATGTATACAAACTTGAAAAAAACATTTAAACAAGATTACAAAGTTGAATGTATTTACATTGTCTTATCACGAAACACTGGTAAGGCACAGTGCCGTGAGAATAGCTAATACACAAGCATAAACGGTACAGAATAGAGTTAATCAAAGGTCACCTTTGTTGGCCTTTATGAGTGGCAAGAAGGCCAGTGTGGTACGGATGGTGCCCCACAGGTTCACGTCGGCCACTCGCTGGTACGAGTTCATGTTGGACATCTCCACTTCGCCCATCTGTGCAATGCCTGCGTTGTTCACTACGGCCCACAGGTCTGAAATCGATGGAAACAAATGACAAATACTTTACTCAAGTTTTCTGGTTCAAAAACAAGTAGCTGCGTTATAACACAACTACAGAACAGAAATGACTTAGGTATGCAACGTGTCACAATGTGCATAATTTGGATGATTTGGATTACAGTAGCTTCACTCATACTTGTACTGACGTGGTTAACAGTTGAATTGTAATGCACTAGTGGTATTGCTATTATTGACAATTCTGTATAGGAAAAAATATAGATTTTTTTTAACTGACCTGAACTTAATGTTTTATTTTTTACCAGGTTTTAATTTGCACAAAAACAATGGCTTGCACGTGTTGCAATCTTTGCAGTGAAGGCACTCCTTAATGGAGCCAGTGTGCTGATACCTCTGTTCGGTCACTTTGTGCCCTAAGATAACTGCTCGTTTTGGAAATCGACACCACAATCACACGTACGGTGGTACTGTGATAACTGGACCACGTTACGTTATGGTTTATTTAACAGTACTGTAGTACTCCCATGGCTAAATATGCAGTGGCCTATAATCACGTAAAAGCACTCATTTCAGAAGCGGACTGAAGTACAGAATTGCCTAAACAGCCTCCGTGACCGACACGTGGATGACGTGCAGGCCATTCGACAGTGGATAGATAACGAGCTGTAAAATATACATTATACAATGGACTGCACTTTGGTCTGTTAGTAGATAGACCAGGAACAAAACATCTTGCACAATGCATATTGAAACGATTTGTCCACAGTTGAGTACAGTACTGAAGTCTGAAAACATTTCGCATTTAAAAGGCTTAGCTTGTTTAAACGCACAGTTGTGATCAAGAAGTCTTGCGACACCCAATCTATTGACCCCTACCGAAAGAACCAAGAAGATGAATCCCTGCAGTCACGAAAGCTTTAAATCGAAACCCTAACATGTTTTTTGCTTGGCATGTTATTTTCTGTTTTGAATAAACCTTACTTTAAAAAAAAAACGCAATAAAGAGGGTTTGTTTGTTAGATCGCGTAAAAAAACCTTACTAATTGGCTGTGTTGGGTGGTGGCGGGTTTAACGATACATCTACGAGTTCTAACCTCCCCCTGCCACCCCAAAAAAAACTTAATTATTGGTCGCGAAAGCCTACGTGTTCAACGTACTTTAAAAACAATATTCCGTTTTGGAGAATTCAATGGGGGGGGGGGGGGGTCACAAAGCATGTGGACCACCCTACAGTTATGATCGGTGAAAAAGTTGACAACCATTCTGCCCAAGCCTCGTCCTGTGTCCACCCACCCGCGCTCGGCCGCACCTCACCTGCCTGCCGACCCATGCGGGTGACGGCTGCACGAGCCTCCTGCACCTGCTCGTCGCTCGTGACATCAAAGGGCAGGACGCGCAGGCGGTCGCTGCTCTTGCTCGCGAGCTCCCGGGCCCCTTCTCCGTCTGGCTGCAGGCAGCCGGCCAGCACCCGGACTCCCATGCCGTCCAGACGCCTCGCCAGCTCGAAGCCGAAGCCGCTGTCGCAGCCCGTGATGAGCACCGCCCGGCCGCGCAGGAGGACGCGGGGAGCGCGGGTGAGGACCGAGGAGTTCACCACGAGGATTGTTACGCGCACGAGGAGGGCGATCGCCACCAGCAGCATTAGCGTACTCGACCAGCTCAACATCCAGATGCCTGCAGATGCTGCGGCCGCGATGGCGGTCAGCCACAAGCTGTTTCCCGTCATCCTTGTGTCTTTCGAGAGTCAACACGAACTGACTCTTGAGAGGGTTTCCGACGTTGTTTCGGGATGGCTTCTGAATGCGCAACCGTCGCAAAGTGCCCTTGTACGAGAAAACGTCCTTCTCTCTTTTGGTCGAAGTGAGGAATGCGCTTTGGGTGGGTGGGTTTCGTAATCGCGTGGAATCTCCCAACTCAAACAGTGGGGTTCTGTATGCAGGGGTGTTTTCATTTAATTTTCGTTCGCTCCCAGCTTATAAAATGCCCTCGAGAGTATCTGCCATGAGCCACTTTTAAAAAGTAAGTTAGTAGAAGTATAAATTTTGATTTAAAGCTTTCGTGACTGCAGGGATTCATATTCTTGCTTCTTTCGGTAAAGTCACGTAGAAGGGAAACAATAATATAAAACAATAAAATTATCACGACGTTTCGACTGCAACACAAGCAATCATCATCAGGTGTGAAAACCACAAGAATATTTTTTTAAGTGGCGTTTTTTTTTAACGTTAGCACCACGGAGAGCGGTTTGACAGTTTGTTCAGATGGACGAGTCCATCTATGTTCGGAAAAGAGGAGGGGGGAGAAGAAAAATAATGGATGCGGTGTGTTAGTCTGGCGACTAAAGCACATCACACAATACTTTGCGTATCTTATAACGGGAGGTCCAGTTACACACCTATCAAACCCTAATCAGTGCCCTACCTTATTACAGACCAATTCAGACCTTATTGGTCACCCCGTGCCCATTATAAATCTCAACGTTCATCCGACAAAGTCCCATCACAAGGGAGAAACACAAAACATGTTGCCCGTATTGAAACGGCTGTACACCGTATGGACCTGAAATCTCAATGTCTTTGTACAATGATACGGGTAAACCGTATGGGTTGACAGGTATGCAGTTGAGAGGGCGAAGAGCAAGGACAGTGAGAGGAAGGCAGATAAGGAATGCACCTCCGATTATCACGGTTAGCGACGTACGGTGCGAAAGAAGTTCAACATACGGTACATACCACACGAGCAAGACGGAGAGAGAGAGCATCATGCGGCCGTGGCGAGGGAGACCAGGGCGGAAAGAGCGGCGTCTCAATTACAGCGGAGTGAGGGAGTGTGAGCAAATGACATCGTGTGATGGCCACGAGAGGACACCTGGAAAAGTCGTGTAAATGCCATCTTAGAGCACACGGAACCATAGCGGAATCAAGTCATTGTGGTGATTCACAAACCATACAAATGTAAATCACCGACGGACACGCCATCATGCAAACATCCTGCCAGTGCTGGGGCAATCCGTACAGCGTCTCGACTGCCCTTCTTGCTGGATTGGTTGACCAACTTAGCATTCAACTCCGACGCGTTTCAACACTCTTTGCTTTTCCCTCCTACAGTGCGAAAGGAGAAGATAGCAAACCAAGCATTGTGTGTTGTTGGTTCTTACTCTTTGTTTTTTATTTTATTTTCACCTACGTGACTTTACCCAATAGAACCAAAGAGTATGGATCCTAGCAGTCACGAAAGCTTTAAATCTAGAATTGTTGGTTCTTATTTACGCTGGTTGCATACCTGTCAACCCATGCGGTTTAACCCGCATTCATGGACAGGGAAATTGAGTTTTCAGGTCCACTCGGCGTAAAGCCGTTTCAATACGGGTAAACATTTTTTTGTCTATTAGTTTGTGTTTCTCCCTTGTGATGGGACTTTGTAGGGTGAACGTTGAGATTTATAAGGGCACGGAGTGACCAATAAGGTCTCAATTGGTCTGTAATAAGGTAGGCACTGATAAGGAGTTGACAGCTATGGGTTGGAATATATTAAAGTGTGCGGCATGCCGAAGAGACTGCGATAGACTCTACAGTGAAGGTGGATGGCGTTTCTACCCAGTTCACAAATAATTCCTTTATTTGTCACCAGGAGGCGTGCTAGTTGAGTGACATTGGTGAGAGCATTGTAAAGTTCAACACGAAACCCAGAGAGAGGGCTTCATTGTGGGAAGCAGTGGGGAAACTCTTGAGCGTGCAGGTGGTGCAATTACACGGGGGTCCATGGTCCCAAATGAGGCCAAACACCGAGCTATAAATAGGGGGGGTGGGGAAAGGTGGAAAGGGGTCCCCATTTTATTCCTTGTTACAGGTCCACATGCCAACCACACTCACGCCACTGGTGTGAGGCTCTGTGAGTTGTACGAGGTCTCCATCATCAGACCGTATATGTCAGACAAGATTTTTTCATGCGAATTCACGCTAAGCGAGTTTGGTCATGACGTGGGCTGGTAATGCAGGCAATGGAGTGAAATGCCATACAGTTTTAATATGAAGTGTATAGGTTTCAGGCCGCGGTATAGTGGTTGTAGGTGATGTTACATCATATGCGATAAGCACGGTTGGTTACGTACGGTGCAAAATAAGTTCAACATACATTAAGAGGAAAAAGTGTAACTTTACATTCTGGGACAGGAGAAACCAGTAAGATTGTATAGAAAGTATACTTGGTTAAAGAATACAGGATTGCACGAATTGTAGCATGAATAAATAGTGGGTAGACTTGCATATTCTTTTAAAACTTTTTTTAATCCCAATTGCTTTCTGATCTTTCCATTGGCGTCCATTTCATGAAACAAAACGTACATTTCTAAAGTGGCTGTGGTTATGATGCGGCTTATCTATCAGAACGGTTTGTATTCAGTAACCATGTACAGATAGGTGCAGCACTTTCTGTACAATAACATCGCACAACCCCAGTGAAGTGTGTCTACCTTTGTTATTCTAAAAGATCTTGATAGCTGCTCCATAAGTCGCATTCCTCAGATAAAACTCGCGTCACCGGCCAGCCGCTGGCTATGTCGGTCCGAGAGGATTACGTTATTGTTTGACTCGCCGCTGCGTGGGGTTTAATTAATAATTTCCACTCAGTCGTTGTGTTAACAAGGCGAACGCTCCCGCGCGGTCCGGATATTAATAAATTAATCGGCGCTCGTGCGCCCCCCCCACCCACCCACTCGCGTGTGTCTCACCGTGAACACTGCGGTGAGACACACAGACACACGTGACACTCGCGTGTCTCACCGTTAACACTGCGGTGCACGCACAGACACACGTGACACTCGCGTGTGTCTCACCGTTAACACTGCAGTGCGCGTATATACACGCGCGGGCAACCGTTGATATTTTAATATGCGCGCCCGTCACACTCACACTGATTTATAGTCACCCACGCACCGTCGTACACCGATCGCTGTCCCACCGCTCTTCACATGCACACATGCACCACGCGTCAAACGTCAGTCTGTGCCAAGATTTATTATGGCCCCCTCCAGCCAGCACCCTTCGGACAGCACCTAACCTCCTATCACCTAGCCGTCGCAGAGTGCGTCTATCCTCCAAGCTCGAGCTGACTGCGAGCTGGGCTGAATTGGCCCCCTCCCCGTACCTACTCACCTCTTCAGCTGCCCGATGGGGGCTGGGGAAGATGCTCGCTTTCGAGACTTTGCCTGGCCGATCGTTTCCAGCTCCACCCTGCAGGCGTCGCACAGATGCTGAGGACGACTGGTATCTTCCACCGCTCCAGAAGAACTCTGAGTCAATCTGCCCCTCCGGCCCCCTTATGTGCCCCAAAGCCCCTTAACCCCCGGGTCATATGACGTCATCCTGCGCATCCAATCGAATCCTCTTTGCGGCCTTTTGAGCACTCGGGTCATTGGGGGGGGGGTCGCATCACCCCCCCCCCCTTCCCATTGTCTCTGTACCTGCGTTCCTCGCCGTTGACTCACTGATAATCCCCTCGCTCCCTCCAACTTAAATTCACTCTTATATGCCTTGGGGCTTTTCCCTCCCACCCCACTGTTTACACTGCCGCTGGGTGCTGGCCTTGAGGTCCCATCCCCCTGTGTTGTGTATGCTTCATCGTGGCCGGCCTGTAAAGCTCTATGCCCCCTTCTTGGGGGGGCCGCCATGTAATCTGGTCTGGGGGGCTCAGCCAATTTCCTGGTCCGTGGAAACTGTGGACGTCCCTGTTAATGGGGTCCTCGGGTGAAAACACATTGTACCAGGTGATCCCTGCTCGAGACCCTACGGGGGTGCATGTGAGTGTTTAGTGGGGCGTGCGTGCGTTCGTGGGGGGGTGGGGGTGCAAGGAGAGTGTAGCGCCGGCCGAGCTGCTGTGCTGCGGTGGCACCACATAGCCCCCCGAGGTGTCCGTCCCCATCCCGGGTTGACTGGAGCACCTCGCTTAGGCCGCCCCCACGAGGTAGCGCCGTGGAGTCCGCGGGACTCGCCCGGCCCTTGTTGCCGGTCTCGGGGGTGGCGGCTCCATTCCTTGGGGCTCCCGCGGTGGTCTCCTCCTCCACTCCAGAGCCTCCTCCCGTCCCTCGTCATCTGTGGGCTGGGGAACAAACTCAGGAGCAGAGGGGTTTAGGGGCCGGCGTCCCCGCCGCCTCCTGGCCGGGCCGGGGCCACCCGCGGGTTGGGGTCCCTCGGGGCCCATGTACGGTGCGAAACCCCCGAGTATGGGGGGCGCGTGGTACTCGACTGGCGGGGGTCTCTCCCGCCGGGGCCGCCCTCCATGGTTTTAATCAGCAGACATTGACCCCCGTCTCTCGGCCCCTCTCCCCGCCCTAGATGAGAACCGTCCAGGGGGAGAGCTGCCGCACCACGGTCCAGGGTCCATGCCAGTAGGTGGTCAGTTTCCCCACCTGTCTGGCCCGTACGCGCGAGGTGTGCAGATACACCTTAGAGCCCGCTGAATAGAGGGGGGGTTCCATGCGGGGCCGGGTGCCCTGCTCCTGCCGCTGGTTTGCGGCCTCCCCCTGTTGGTAGGCCCGGCCGCGGGCCCCTCGCAGGGTTCCCATCAGGTGCTCTATGGGCTGGCTCCCTTCCTCCGGTTGCAGCGGGGGAACGCCGAACAACAGATCTGCTGGAAGGCGAGACTCATGACCAAACATCATTAAGAACGGGGTCTGTCCCATAGATGTGTGTACCGTGGTGGCGTAGCTGAACAGGGCGTAGGAGAGGTGTTCGTCTCAATCCTGTTGATTAGCGGCCACCATACATTTGAGCTTCCCAGCTAGGGTCTGGTTCATACGCTCCACCATCCCATTCGCCTGGGGGTGATACGCCGTAGTTTGGTCCTTCTGGATTCCAAAATCCCGGCACAGCGCCTGAAATAGCTCCGCCTCAAACTCACTACCCTGGTCAGCAATCACTCATTCGGGGATCCCATGCTTAAGCAGTAATGTTCCACAAATGCCTGGGCGACCACAAGGGCCGTTTTATCTAGGATGGCCACCGCCATGGCTCGCGCTCAAAATAGCAGTATGAATATGCACGCGCCCCTCCCCCCCGTGGGGTCGGCTTTAATCCGCTGTGCAAACACACACAGCGGCACATGCACGCGGGCAAAATGACGGCCGTATTGATATTATACGCACGCCCCACCGTTGATGTGATCGTCGCTACGTAAACACCCTGCGTAAAACGCGCTGAGTAAACACGCACGCGAGCATCCACGATCGTTTATGATCGAATACACGCGCGATTCACACGCACGTACTCACACGACACCTATGCTCTCCCCACACACACAGAAATCACACGGTGCCGATATTCTGAACCAAAGTTTATTAATGGCGCCAATACGCATTACCCGGAGGAGGAATATTTTGCGAGGAGAGCTTAGCATAACTCTGCCTATGACCCCAGTTACACAAACGTTCTACCACATACCTCGTAGCTGTACTCACGGCATCGCACGAACGCTGTGAGAGTCGGAGGGAGAAGGACGACCGAAACCCTCGCTTATCACTGCCTCGTAGCAGCACTCGTGGGCATCACACGGATGCTGCGAGCGGCTCATGGAGGCAGGACGGCAGGGAGGGGTCTGGATCGCCCGGAGGTTGAAGACAACTGCACTCACCGTCTCGGGGCACCTATCTTTATTGTCGAAACTTCAAAGGCCCAGGGTGATGGCATACCGCACAGCCAATCGGGCGCTTACCTGTGCTTCCCGTCATCGTCCCCCTCCACCGTCTCTTCCGTGGCCTAATCCCCTCACTTCAAAGGCCCAAGGTGGCATTGTACTGCACAGCCAATCGCGTGCTCACCTGCACCATCTACATAGAGGGCCACGGGTTCTGCTGCTGCTGCTGCTGCGGCCCCTCACCCATTGTCCTCCCGTGCTCATTAATTCTAACCCACTGGTCTGCCTTTCTGGCCTAATTTTCCACCGTCCGCCTCTCCCAGTGTTGTGAGTAACTCATTGCGGTTGGCCCAGTGAACCTTTTCCTTCTGTGCCCATACAATCTTAAGCCAATTTAGGGGCACCGCAATGTAACCTGTCCTGTGAGGGTCGGCCAATCTCCTGGCACGGGGAAACCGTGGGACTCTCCCTCTAGGGGCCCTTCGGATTAAAACCCGATGTGCCAGTCAGGACCCAACATGGGTGCGCTGTGTGCCGATCAGCTGCACGGGTTATTGCAGGAGTACGTCGACGTTGTTAAGCACCAAATTGACACCGGTGCAGCCCGACCCATCAAACTCCCCGCATACCGAGTGGGCGTGCCTGAACGGGCCCAGATCAAAGATGCAGTCGTGGATATGCTCCGTGATAACATAATCCAGCCCTCGGCGAGCCCCTGGTCTGCACCGGTTGTACTAGTGACGGAAAAGGATGGATCGACCTGGTTTTGCGTGGATTATCGAAAGTTAAATGCAGTTACTCTCGGCGACGCCTTCCCCATCCCCCGCATCGATGACACCTTTGACAGCCTCGCAGGGGCGTGGTATTTTTCCACCCTCGATCTAGCGTCTAGGTACTGGCAGGTGGTAATTTGTCACTGCATGCAAGTCAAATGGTATTTTTGTAGGAACGGAAATAACACGGTCATGGTTTATTAAATACAGTACACCTGACACTTATTTTTAAAAATAAGCTTTTCCAACCAGTTTTAACCGTCAGAGCACTTTTTTAGGCAAACAGGAGCAGCAGTGAAGAAGCAGGGCCAATAAAGGACCTTCCCATCAGTTGAGTTGCACTAAAAGCAGCGTCAAGGGTGCTGCCTTGCAATGATTCTCCCGCAGAGACAGCCGACTTCATGCTGACAGGGATTTTAGGGTTATCATGGGGAGAAGATGGCATGCTAGGCACAAAAGGGAGTAGGCGTCCCTCTTGCTCGGGAGCAGAACAATGTCCCAGCCTCCGGAATGTGGTGCATAATGGTTCCAAACTTCCCATGCTTGCTAAAGCTGCACGGGAGGTGACTCTGGCCTGCGTTTGTAATCAAGCCCTAAATCACTTGATGCTTCCTATGCCGTTGGCCTTTGCCTGTTTGAAAATGAAACACAACTGAGAAGACAGCACTGTATTCATACCTTTTCCATGAGACTACGAGGTCTCACGACGTGCTCCCATTTCAATAGTGCTCTGATTCAGCCGAGAGCCCGCCTTCGCTTTTGAGCATGGAATTGCGTGCCAGGATGCTTTTTTGCTTACTCTCGTTCAACGCGTTCGTGAATATGATATCTGTCCATGCAGTGGGCAGGTTCCTCAGCAGGAACACAATGGCCCTCTCGATAAACGAGCACACCAGGTAGCACGTGTCAGGTTCGCCAGCTGTCAGTGCCTCCACAATTGCGTCAATCACCAGCCCAGGGTTCTTGCACTCGATTTTGCGGAAGGACTGCACCGCTTCCATGTAGGTGTCAATGTACTCCATGGTGAACTGTGTCTTCTGGCTCTCGGTGAGGCTCCTGTAAATGCTCTTGGTGTCCTGGTTCTGCATGATATTCGTGTGGGAAATGAAGGTTCCTGGCTCTATGAGTACAACCTGTTGATCAAAAATTGTATTATTAATATCACAGTGACATTGTTTATTCTGCTGGAATACTCTGATGCGCTTTTAGTCTTGAGATGCAGTCGCATTTGACATGCTTTATGAACTCAAATTGGAATTCAAGGTTGTTGACTATGAGACGAACTTGTTGGGAACTTGTGCATTATCATGTTTAGTGGTACAATGTGGTATGTGCTTTGAAGATAAGATCACATTTCGTTGTTAGTGGTGTCTGCATGTTCCTGGACACTTGCTTGTATGTACAGTATTTGTTCATGATGATAAATAGACACTGAGCTATGACAATCTGTTCATAGTTATCAACTGTGTTTTTTTATGCACAACTGAGCAGTACATTGTGTCTACTGAAATAACTTAAACCTCAAGGCTATTTTGGACAAAAAAATACAATACAAATGATACACCATGTAGAAAAAATACAAACAATAGTATTTTGATTGATATATTTATATTGATCAATTTTAATATTACTGTGTGTACTTTCAGTGCTTGGCCATCCTCTTGTTGGATCATTCCACGTAAATTCTGGCTCAAGCTTGTTTAAAATAAGGTAAGTTACATTTATAGTAATACCTCACACAATGGATTGTGTACAAAGACACACGAAGAATCCTGAAGTTCTTACATTATGAGACCTTTGCCAGTAACAAGATATAGTAATAGGATGTTACCCTTTTATCTGGCACAAAAACTGACACCTTTATACAAGGCATCATGTTTGCAATAATCACAACACAAGTAGTCAAAATGCAAACAAAAAAGACAACTCTGATAATATGCACTGTCCTTGAATTTGATTGGTCCACACCCGAGACGCCTTTTGGCGTCATCTGGTCCAACACCAGTGGAGACTAGGCTCTAAGAAAAGCCGTCTCGGGTGTGGACCAATCAAATTCAAGGACAGTGCATATTATCAGAGTTGTCTTTTTTGTTTGCATTTTGACTACTTGTGTTGTGGTTATTGCAAACATGATCCCTTGTATAAAGGTGTTAGTTTTTGTGCCAGATAAAAGGGTAAAAACATATTACTAAATCCTGAAGTTGATGGGACTGAAGCTACATTTGTAAAGGGCATAGGATAAATGCTACGAATGGTCTTTAAATGCCATTTCCATACCTTCACGTCCCACTTTTTCATTTCTACGCGCAGGCAGTTGGAGAAAGCATCCACGCCACTCTTGCTAACACAGTAGGCACTGTTGAAAGATGTGTGGAGATGGGCCGATATGCTGGACATGTTCACGATCCGTCCTACATCAAACACGAGACAAGAATGCCGATAACTAAACGACAGATAAAACAACAATTCCATTTGGACAAATATAAACATTTACTCATCTTTGTATTTTTTACTAATATTTGTTAACATTCGTGTACCTGATGACGATTGCTTGTGTTGCGATCGTTGCAGTTTTTTGTTAATTATTGTGTTCTACGTGACTTTACCGAAAGACCCAAAGAATATAAGTATTCCGGTTAAGGTTTTACTGCTCAGCGTTGTCCATTCACTTTGGTGAAATTAATCATTTTCATCCTAATTCTTGATACTTTTAGATCAACCATGGAATTTGGTGGAACAGGCAATGATTTACACCAGCGGTTCTCAAAATATGGGTTACAATCCACAACAGGTTGATCGCAGAACAAAATAGTGAAACATAAGCATTGCTTTTTTAATGAATAATATGACACTAAATGTTTCATCTAAACAACAAGATGGATATAAGCTCACGACGAGTCTTACATTAATTTGAAAAAATAAAAAAATGCAGTCCCCCACTCGTGTGTAAAATGGTCTGGACCAGAAATCTATAACGTGGTCAAACTGAAGGTCACCTGACCCGTGCGTACCAGTCATGCTAGTGGTGTGAATTCCAGTGCTTCTAAACCTTTTTCACTCCACAGCCCACATTTTTTTCCCAATTTATTTTTTTATTTTACCACTTGAGGCCAACTCACCTATATTGCTCTTTTTCAGAAGAAACCTGACCACACATGGCACCAGAATCCGTGACGAGAATTTGCCCAACTCCGTGAATGTCTGTCTCTGTGCGTATCTCTGTGTCTGTGTTGGCATGCTGTGCTACGAAACCAGAGGCCCCATTTCGATGCCCGCTCAATGCCACCACCAGCGACAATTATCTGAACCGGTCCTGGGCATCCCCTAGATAGACTCAACCTCAAATGAGTACCCGGTGCGGTGTGTACACATTGCCACTAGGGGTACAAAGGCGTACTCTTTGGTTCTATTCGGTAAAGTCACGTAAAAAAACAACAAAAAATAAAAAAAATTCACGACGTTTCGGCCACAACACAAGTGGCCTTCATCAGGTGAAGGGACCAGACTGTCTAGAGGACAGCGCTGGAGTAAACACAGCCAAGCTCAGACCGCGACCTTTAAGCTGTGTGGGAGGAAGCAGAGCGCCTTGACAAAGGAATTAGCATAAAAATTAGCATATAATTGGCGAACTCAGCATGATGAACGATGTAAAGGGGGGGGGGGAGCATGTGCAGACCGGCGAGGAGGGGAGGGGGAGTTTACATATTGATGGTGTGAAAAGGGAATTTAAGCAGCTGCGAACGTTTGGGATATCACTACTTGAAAAAATATACTGTACCATTGAAAATATGTTTAATATTCATATTCTTAGCTCTTTGCATTGGGCTCTATGGTACAGAGTCTTGATGAGAGAATTCTTCTGTGATGGATGGTGGTGGGAATCCGGTTTCAGAGCGCAATGCATATCCGACCAGGAACACATAGGCAGTGAACTCAAGCACGTACACCAAGCTCTTAAGGCTAATGGTTACTCCGACTATACAATCCACAAAGCTATCACTCAAACTATGAAGAAGGACCCTCTTGAGGAGCCTTTCAAAACCATCACTTTACCCTACATTGTGGGGATCACAAAAAAGATCTCCAAAATCTTGAATAAACACAAGATCCAGGTCCGTTTCAACACATTACATAAAATCCGTGATCTGGTTCCATCTGTAAAAGATGTGATTCCGGACATACAGTACCCTGGTGTCTGCAAACTAAGTTACCTCTGTGGTAGTAGTTACATTGGAAAAACCAAACGCCATGTCTCGGACCGCATTCGTGAACACAAAGCAGACCTTAAACACGGTAGGACCAACACCTCGGCCGTGGCAGATCATTGTTATAATTCAGTAGGCTCACATTACATTGACTTTTCCAAGACAGAGGTTCTTTGTAAGCCATCTGGCTACCATGAGAGATTCGTTCATGAGGCTATCCACATATACAAGCACAGAGACAATTTCAACTGAGAAGATGGATTCTGGCTTAGCAATCATTGGAAAGATTTGATAAACCATTTCAGGTCTTAATTGATTGTTCACGCTTACAGTGGCTTTCAGACAGCATTCATTAATTTTTCGTCTCCCCCCTCCTCTTTTCAGAACATAGATGGACTAGTCCTTCTAAATAAACTGCCAAATCGCTGCGTGTGGCGCTGACGTTTTTTAATAAATAAATACACCGTTTAAAAATAAATAAATTAATGCAAACCGCCATACCTGATGATGACCGTTTGTGTTATGGTCGAAACGTCGTGAGAATTTTTTATTGTTTTATATATATTTTATTACTTTATTGTTTCCCTTCAACGTGACTTTACCGAAACAGCTAAGAATATGAATTACTGCAGTCACGAAAGCTTTAAATCAAAATTAGATTAATGTTTGGTTTGATTCAGAACATCTTTCCAATGGTTGTTTAATTTGAAACCATCCTCTCGGTTCAAATTGTGTCTGTGTTTGTAAATCTGAATTGCCTCGTGAACAAATCTCTGATAAAAACCCGTGGGTTTGCAAAGAACCTTGGTATCGGAGAAAGTTATATCGTGATCACCCACAGCATTCTAACAGTGATCAGCTACGGCAGAAGAATTTGTTCTGCCGTGTTTCAAATCTGATTTGTGCTCGCGAATTCGGTCAGACACATTTCGTTTCGTCTCCCCGATATAGCAGTCGCCACAGGTGGAGATCATTTTGTAAACTCCGGGGTACTGTAAATCAGGAATGACATCCTTCACGGAAGGGATCAGGTCACGGATTTTGTGTACTGTATTGAACCGGACCAGGATCTTGTGTTTGTTTAGAATTTTGGAGATCTTTTTAGTAACGCCTGCTATATATGGTCGTGTGATGGTTTTGATCGGAGTATCAGGTGGTTGTTTCTGTATGGAGGGAGAAACAGCTTGGTAGATGGTACGGCCAGAGTATACATTCCTTATTAGGGCCAGATGTACATGTTTTAATTCACTGGTGAGGTGGTGTTGGTCCGAAATGCAATGAGCCCTGTGGTATAACGTTTTGATGAGAGAATTATTTTTCTCCTCCCCTTGCCGGTTGGCACATGCTCCCCCCCTCTACATCGTTCATCATGCTGAGTCCACCAATTAGATGCTAATTTTTATGCTAATTCCTTTGTCAAGGCGCTCTGCTTCCTCTCACACAGCTTAAAGGTCGCGGTCTGAGTTTGGCTGTGTTCACTCCAGCACTGTCCTCTAGACAGTCTGGTCCCTTCACCTTATGAAGGCCACTTGTGTTGTGGCCGATACGTCGTGATTTTTTTTATTTTTTGTTGTTTTTTACGTGACTTTACCGAATAGAACCAAAGAGTATGGATCCTTGCAATCACGAAAGCTTCAAATCTAGGATACAAAGGCGGTTGGGCGTGTTGCTGGCCACTCCCTCGTGTGCTGTTCCGGCCATCATAGGTGCTCGCTATCAATACTGCTCCAAAAGTGTGGTAAGGCCATTTGAAGTATCCTTGTATTTGTGTGTTTCCATGTGTGAGTGTTTATTTTCATCTCTGTTTCCTTGTCTATGTGTGAATGTATTCGTATCTGTTAGTGTATTTGTCTTTTTGTGTGAGCTGCATTGTAAAACCATAACCCTGTGTAATAAAATAACTACTGCAATACCATCAACCTGCGTGCTGTGCCGTAACAACCCAATCCAAGGTTGGCGCTTCTGATACATACCTTCGTTAAGTTCCAACAAATGTAGTGGGTTCGAATTAGGTGCACACACGACTCCTTGGGAGGCAACGCTGATTTATTAGAACGGTAAGTAATATAACACTGCACATAAGGTGGTGACCACCAACCTACTCTAGCTAACACATACTTATCAAATACTCTAGCGTGACCCAGCCAGGTGGGCTACTGCCAGGTCCGCTGACTGGAGGCTTGACTCTTCTTGGCGTCTTCACGATGCATCTTCGTTCTTGATACGGGCAGCCTCGAACCTCGTGAGGAGGCTGCTTATATGGGCCTCGGTGTGCCCGGGCCCCACCCCGGCCACGCCTCCCTTCGAGAACCCTCTCGAAGCCCCCCTGCTGTCCACGTGCCCTCCGAGGTGCCCCCTAGGCCCCCAGTCATGTGTCCAGCCGGGGTCACAGAGTGCCATGGCCTCACACCACCCTCGTGGCCTCCCGGAGCCCAGAACCGGCCCTGACGTCATTCCCGCCTCCAGCCGGGATGACGTCATGCGTGTGTGTAGACCCGCGTGGTCATGACGCTCCCCCGCATAGTGACGTCACGCTTGTCCGTGTGTACACAGTAGTGATTCTACAATCACTACACAAACAAGGAGCGCGTGCTCACCTTTGCTGGCCTTTACGAGTGGCAGGAAGGCCATCGTTGTGCGGATGGTGCCCCACAGGTTCACGTTGGCCGGTCGCTGGTACGAGTTCATGTTGCACATCTCCACCTCACCCAAATGTGTGATGCCCGCGTTGTTCACCACAGCCCACAGGTCTGAGTAATTGAAGAATAAATGGTATGAAGCAGCAAAAAGTACGTTTGCTGTCCACTGTTTGTTTTGTTCTGCCTCATCGTTAAAAATGGGAAGTTGAACGTTTATATACTGTTGCTGCTGTATTATTTAATAGGCTTACCCATATAATAATGATGTACATTCCTCTGTAGATGCAATGAGGGATGAAGGCCTTCCTACGTGATGCCAGTCACGGGGGTTGTTTGAACAATATTGACCAAGCTAGTCGGTGTGGCTTGGTGGTAGGTTGGCGAAGGTTGTCGAATATCCACACGCCGTTGATGTTAACTGGCCAAGGAGAGAACGCAGGGAGAGGTGGGAATAAGGAGAGCCAGGGTGAGAGGTGAGAGATCTGGGAAATGGAGGTGGGTGAGATACAGTGGAGGGACGAGAAGAATATGAGAGGGAGGGATAACATTGTGGAATGAATTTAGATATACTGTACAGGGAAGGCAAGAGAAAGGTGGAGAGAAACGGGGCTCTATATAAGATTAAAATGTTTGCTGGCTGAGAGGAACGGTTATAAGATGAGGAAACATCTGAGAAAAGGTGATAGGATTAGTCCTTCACTTTTTGCTAGAATTTAATGGGCTGCACTGCTGGAAATTGACGGAACTGTGTAGCTTCTGCCCTTAGGAATGTTTACACAATTCTAATAAAATACATCAGTGTTGCACACTAGATATTCAGGAATAATTTATTACATTATTTTTCTGGATAAAAGTGCATTGTGTCCTAGTGGTAGTGTGTTATTTTTTGCGTTGTGCATTTGATTAGCACGGTTGGCTACGTACGGTGTGAAATAATTTTAACATGTATGAACCTTTTTGCGGGACCCTGGGACCCCGTAATAAAGTTTAAATCGTAATTAATTATTTTATTTTGGTGACTCCGTCCCACCGCGCAGATAAACATCGCGACCCACCTGGCGCGGATCATTCTGGTGTCGTTGTCTACCAAGCGCAGCAGCGAGGACGAATGTGCAGAAGAGCTGAACAAGCAAATGCACGCCATGCTCGGGTATGGGCAGGATTATCCAAAGCTGCTCAAACTGCCTACACGACTTAAGTCCTTTATTTATCATAACGGTATGCATAATAATACAGTGAAACTGCTCTCTTATCTTCATTATTATTTGTGACCTACCAATGTCTGCAGCCAGGATCAATCGATGACAATCCTATTACCTGCAGATATTTAACAGATGAGATTCGTTGCACCGTTAATTCCTACTGTTTGATAACCTTGTCCGCATCTGTGCAAATAGTTTTTTTTGCGGTTAAGCCATAGTCCCCACATACCGCTCGTATCAATGCGGATAAGAGGAGTGGCGACCCACTACTCTGTAGAGTAACATTGGTATAAACGCGTATTACAATATGAACAGCGCATTGAAAACGCGTACTATTTTACGTACTGTTTATAAAGTGTGTTCACAAATCCACACAGAGAAACACGATGATTGACAGAGCGGTGTAAATTTTTTTTTCGAAAGTGTATTTAAATAGAGGTACTGCAGGGAAGTAGTTTCAGTTTTAAAGGCATAGTTTAACAAGACAACACTTTCCACCATCCTTCAAACCCATTGGTGACAAAGAGCAAAGTTTTTGTTTACATAATTATAATATAATGCACGGGACTTCGGGCGTGCTGCTCGGCACATTTTGTTCTCATATGTAGTGGAGTAAAAGATACGCATGGGTAAATTGGCCATATACAGTACATACAGACATACAAACAGTGTGGGTCACATAAGGTCGAGCAGGTGGTGAAGTCACGGGTGGCGTAAACAAACCAAAGTAATTAAGGGAGTCATGGCACGAGGGCTGTGATTGGTCGAGAGGCTGTTAGCGTTAAGTGGCGGCCTCACGAAGTCTGGATCGTTGGACAGGTGCGAGCTGGCGGAAAAATGCTAGCGAGACACGTGGCAATTAATTAAAGCTGATTGGAAAGGGGATAAAACGCTAGGTGATTTGGACGGGGAGTTGAGTTGTTGTTGGGGAGTTGTTGGCGAGAGGTGGAGAGCAGCGAGAGAGGCGAAGAGGAGAGCCGGCAAATGTTAGGGAAGAATAGATTGAGAGCCGAACCCAAAGGACAGTAAATAGCGATAGGGAGAGTTAACGTTAGCAGAGTGGTAGTTACGGGAGAGATAGGTACAGGGAGAGTTAGAGATAGACAAGTCACTGTGTGTGAAGAGATAGACGAGTCACTGTGTGTGAAGAGATAGACAAGTCACTGTGTGTGCGGAGATAGATAAGTCACTGCGTGTGGGGAGATAGACGAGTCGCTGTGTGAGGAGATGCAGAGAAAACCACTGTGTGTGGGGGGGGAGTGAAGAAGAGACTGTGTGGGAAGACAAGGAGTATGAGCGGACGGTGCTGAGGGGAATTCGAGTGTTCGATTTGGCGGAGCGCGGAGAGGAGAAATTATGGTGTGTGCGGAACGATGGAAATAAAAGTGACGGTGGAAGGAAGGCGGTTGTCGTCCGAGTGAATTCACGGCCTACACATATACCGCACCGTTTGAGAGCCAAATCCCTGGCAAGCGCGCGTGCGCAGAGACTTTTATATATAAGATGTTTATGCGAGAGCCGGGGGCCATAAGGTTAATTTGATTACTAAGTTTATTAACATGCAATTTGTCTGTAATTTTAAAAACAATGCATCCATGGACTTCCAAATTAAATACTAAATCGGGATAGTTGATCTACTTCCTGATGAAACATTTACGAAATCGTGCAAAATAACTTCAATATACACACATTAGGCTGACAATAACTATTCACCATCCTAGCAGCATTCTTAAAAATAAAGAGTGAGAAATTAATCCCCGAGTTAGGTGCAATATATTGCTACCCAGCCGTTATTGCTCGTGGTAATATAAAAACATTTATTTGTGGACGTATGTATATGCATCATGGAACAGAACAAATTCTAACTGGAGCCTGATAATTGCTTGTCAAATGTTATTCAATCTTACATTGAATGTCCTATAAACCTTTCATCTGCATGCGGTCCTAAAACTTTTAAAGCACATTATTTTTTCGGCGTGAACTTTGGTTTTATTTGCACGTTCACGCGGCAAAAAAGGGTGAAAATATGCACGCAACTTATCACGCGTTCTGTAGCATCCTGTCCACCCGCGGGGCCGCACCTCACCTGCCTGCCGACCCATGCGGGTGACGGCTGCACGAGCCTCCTGCACCTGCTCGTCGCTCGTGACATCAAAGGGCAGGACGCGCAGGCGGTCGCTGCTCTTGCTCGCGAGCTCCCGGGCCCCTTCTCCGTCTGGCTGCAGGCAGCCGGCCAGCACCCGGACTCCCATGCCGTCCAGACGCCTCGCCAGCTCGAAGCCGAAGCCGCTGTCGCAGCCCGTGATGAGCACCGCCCGGCCGCGCAGGAGGACGCGGGGAGCGCGGGTGAGGACCGAGGAGTTCACCACGAGGATTGTTACGCGCACGAGGAGGGCGATCGCCACCAGCAGCATTAGCGTACTCGACCAGCTCAACATCCAGATGCCTGCAGATGCTGCGGCCGCGACGGCGGTCAGCCACAAGCTGTTTCCCGTCATCCTTGTGTCTTTCGAGAGTCAACACGAACTGACTCTTGAGAGGGTTTCCGACGTTGTTTCGGGATGGCTTCTGAATGTGCAACCGTCGCAAAGTGCCCTTGTACGAGAAAACGTCCTTCTCTCTTTTGGTCGAAGTGAGGAATGCGCCTTGGGTGGGTTTCGTAATCGCGTGGAATCTCCCAACTCAAACAGTGGGGTTCGGTATGCAGGGATGTTTTCATTTAATTTTCGTTCGCTCCAAGCTTATAAAATGTCCTTGAGAGTATCTGCCATGAGCCACTTTAAAAAAGTAAGTTAGTAGAAGTATACATTTTGATTTAAAGCTTTCGTGACTGCAGGGATTCATATTCTTGGTTCTTTCGGTAAAGTCACGTAGAAGGGAAACAATAATATAAAACAATAAAATTCTCACGACGTTTCGACTGCAACACAAGCAATCATCATCAGGTGTGAAAACCACAACAAGAAAATTTTAAAAAAGTGGCGGTTATTTTTAACGTTAGCACCACGGAGAGCGGTTTGACAGTTTGTTCAGATTGACGAGTCCATCTATGTTCTGAAAAGAGGAGGGGGGAGACGAAAAATAATGGATGCGGTCTGAAAGCCACCTGTAAAATATGTGATTCCGGATATACAGTACCCTGGCGTCTACAAACTAAGTTGCCTCTGTGGTAGTAGTTACATTGGAGAAACCAAACGACATGTCTCGGACCGCATTCGTGAACACAAAGCAGACCTGAAACACGGTAGGACCAACACCTCGGCTGTGGCAGATCACTGTTAAAATTCAGTAGGTTCACATGACATTGACTTCTCCGAGACAGAGGTTCTTTGCAAGCCATCTGGCTACCATGAGAGATTCGTTCATGAGGCTATCCACATATACAAACACAGAGACAATTTCAACCAAGAAGATGGATTCTGGCTTAGCAATCATTGGAAGGATTTGATAAACCATTTCGGGTCTTAATTGACTGATCATGCTTAAGGTGGCTTTCAGACCGCATCCATTATTTTGTGTCTCCTCCCTCCTCTTTTACAAACATAGATGGACTCGTCCATCTGATAAAAAAAACTTTCAAATCGCTATCCGTTGTGCTAACGTTAAAAAACCGCCACATTTTTCCAATTTTCTCGTTGTGGTTTTCACACCTGATGATGATTGCTTGTGTTGGAGTCGAAACGTCGTGAGAATTTTATTGTTTTATATTTTTGTATGATTTTATTGTTTTCGCTTCTACGTGACTTTAGTAGAAGTATGCTAACGTGCGTTAAACGTTAATTCAATAGCGCATTGATCCGCGGTGGGGCTCATTGGTCAGAATGTGGTCGACTACATCGCTTTGTGTTGTTTTTCCCAAGCACAACCTGAATACATCTCCAGACTCCAGACTCTTTTACCATTACATTCGAGAGTATCCTCTTTAGAGTTTGTATGAACTTAGTGTATTTTGTAATCCACAACGAACCCTTGTGATGTGCGTTAGTCTGGCGACTAAAGCACATCACACAATACTTGCGTATCTTATAACGGGGGTCCAGTTACACACCTGTCAAACCCATATCAGTACCCTACCTTATTACAGACCAATTCAGACCTTATTGGTCACCCCGTGCCCATTATAAATCTCAACGTTCATCCGACAAAGTCCCATCACAAGGGAGAAACACAAAACATGTTGCCCGTATTGAAACGGCTGTACACCGTATGGACCTGAAATCTCAATGTCTTTGTACAATGATACGGGTAAACCGTATGGGTTGACAGGTATGCAGTTGAGAGGGCGAAGAGGAAGGACAGTGAGAGGAAGGCAGATAAGGAATGCACCTCCGATTATCACGGTTAGCGACGTACGGTGCGAAAGAAGTTCAACATACGGTACATACCACACGAGCAAGACGAAGCGAGAGAGAGAGAGCATCATGCGGTCGTGGCGAGGGAGACCAGGGCGGAAAGAGCGGCGTCTCAATTACAGCGGAGTGAGGGAGGGTGAGCGAATGACATCGTATGATGGCCACGAGAGGACACCTGGAAAAGTCGTGTAAATGCCATCTTAGAGCACACGGAACCATAGCGGAATCAAGTCATTGTGGTGATTCACAAACCATACAAATGTAAATCACCGACGGACACGCCATCATGCAAACATCCTGCCAGTGCTGGGGCAATCCGTACAGCGTCTCGACTGCCCTACTTGCTGGATTGGTTGACCAACTTAGCATTCAACTCCGACGCGTTTCAACACTCTTTACTTTTCCCTCCTACAGTGCGAAAGGAGAAGATAGCAAACCAAGCATTGTGTGTTGTTGGTTCTTACTCTTTGGTTTTTTGTTATTTTATTTTCACCTACGTGACTTTACCCAATAGAACCAAAGAGTATGGATCCTAGCAGTCACGAAAGCTTTAAATCTAGAATTGTTGGTTCTTATTTACGCTGGTTGCATACCTGTCAACCCATACAGTTTAACCCGCATTCATGGACAGGGAAATTGAGTTTTTTGTCTATTAGTTTGTGTTTCTCCCTTGTGATGGGACTTTGTAGGGTAAACGTTGAGATTTATAAGGGCACGGGGTGACCAATAAGGTCTCAATTGGTCTGTAATAAGGTAGGCACTGATAAGGAGTTGACAGCTATGGGTTGGAATATATTAAAGTGTGCGGCATGCCGAAGAGACTGCGATAGACTCTACAGTGAAGGTGGGTGGCGTTTCTGCCCAGTTCACAAATAATTCCTTTATTTGTCACCAGGAGGCGTGCTAGTTGAGTGACATTGGTGAGAGCATTGTAAAGTTCAACACGAAACCCAGAGAGAGGGCTTCATTGTGGGAAGCAGTGGGGAAACTCTTGAGCGTGCAGGTGGTGCAGTTACACGGGGGTCCATGGTCCCAAATGGGGCCATGGACCCCCGTGTGTGAGGCTCTGTTAGTTGTACGAGGTCTTCATCATCAGACCGTATATGTCAGACAAGATTTTTTCATGCGAATTCACGCTAAGCGAGTTTGGTCATGACGTGAGCTGGTAATGCAGGCAATGGAGTGAAATGCCATACAGTTTTAATATGAAGTGTATAGGTTTCATGCCGCGGTATAGTGGTTGTAGGTGATGTTACATCATATGCGATACGCACGGTTGGTTACGTACGGTGCAAAATAAGTTCAACATACATTAAGAGGAAAAAGTGTAACTTTACATTCTGGGACAGGAGAAACCAGTAAGATTGTATAGAAAGTATACTGTAACGCTCTCGTATTTTATCAAGTATACTTGGTTAAAGAATACAGGATTGCACGAATTGTAACATGAATAAATAGTGGGTAGACTTGCATATTCTTTTAAAACTTTTTTTTATCCCAATTACTTTCTGATATTTCCATTGGCGTCCATTTCATGAAACAAAACGTACATTTCTAAAGTGGCTGTGGTTATGATGCGGCTTATCTATCAGAACGGTTTGTATTCAGTAACCATGTACAGATAGGTGCAGCACTTTCTGTACAATAACATCGCACAACCCCAGTGAAGTGTGTCTACCTTTGTTAATCTAAAAGATTTTGATAGCTGCTCCATAAGTTGCATTCCTCAGATAAAACTCGCTTCACCCTGTGCTCCACTTTTTGTCAACCTATGTCCCAAAGCATGCAGTAGTCTTGATTTCTCTTTCGGCTGCAGCTGACCATCTCGCTCTGTCTCTCTTAAGCTCCCCAATTCATACGCAACCGTAGCCTCTCTTTCTCTCTGCCTATATGATCTTTTCTCTCCCGACTCTGCCTCCTAAAGTTGTTGTAGCCTTTGCCTGTGTAGCCAGTATGGGCTCAACGTAATATATCACACCCCTAGTGAGGTTTGTTACATTAACAGAACAAGCCGGTTCGTTACTAGTACAGCACACCGGTGTGTCGGAGAGCAAGTCCACAAACATTTACAATCTGAGGACGACTAGCTTCATCCTGTTTCGATCGTTAAATAGAGGGATATATGTGAAGACGTACCAGTAACGAATTGCCATGTTCTGTTTACGTGACAAACCAAAAAAACTCCTCTATTATATGGATGATATATTGGTCGCGAAAGCCTTACTAGGCGTTAAACCCCTTAATTGTGAATGGAGATTAAATTATGACCACGGATTGGACCCATAGATTCCCGTGACCGCACGATCAATTGAGGGTAGACACTGCACAGATGTACGGCTCCCTTAAAACATAGCTATATGTAGCTATTTAATAATTACTGGTATCGTGATTCTAATATGAAGTAACTGATAGGGATTGAGTAATGTTAATTGGCTGCCAATTGTTTAATGATGGCGAATATTATTCACAGTTAAGATGTTGATCATTCAAGACGATTTTCAGAATTTAATTGAGCCATTCGGGCGTTGGTGCAGAATATTAACACTTGCATTCGATCTCATCGGTGCAGGAATCAAGCAGTGAGGCGCTGTGTAACGTGGGGTTGATTGGTGGACACCTGGTCATGTTTACAGGTATGATAAGTGATTTCTTTTGACTTTTATTTAGTTAGCCAGTTTTTGCGCCGAAAAGTTGAACAAAAACAACAAGATGGCGTCGTTAACATCGTGGTGATTTTGATTTAAAGCTTTCGTGACTGCAGGGATTCATATTCTTGGTTCTTTCGGTAAAGTCACCACGTAGAAGGGAACCAAAATAATAAAAATATGAAACAATTGCTGTGGTTTTCACACCTGATGATGATGATTGCTCGTGTTGCAGTCGAAACGTGTAAGAATTTTATTGTTTTATATTTTTACTATTTTATTGTTTCCCTTCTACGTGGTGACTTTACCGAAAGAACCAAGAATATCGTGGTACTTGTTGAATTTTAAATACAGGGTGCTTCAAGAAAA